AGGAATGGCTAAAATGCATGATCTGTTTGGTATTTTGAAAAGTAAAAAGTATAAATATGCCTTATATAGGTATGGTCCTACACTATATTATTCAAATATAGCATGATAGGTCCACTTTAACTAAGCTCATTTGAGTAAGGTGTTGCTTTATAACGGACATTACTGGGTTAATTTATCTAACTTCCTTTTCCTTATTTGTGTTTCAGTTTACAGTATCCTATAATCTTGGCCTGTTAAGCAAAAGTAAAAAAAAACCTCCCTGTCAATCAATTAAAATCGGATTATTTTGACGCACACAAATACAGTTTAAGCACAAACACATTTATAAGATGCATAGGATACGTATCTACACCCACACTCATGCACAAGCCCAAAGGTAACCCACAGTTCACACTGACCTCTCTGCTGTTAAAAAAAGAAATAAACTGGAGCACCACAATACTTTCAGGATTGCTCAGTCTTATTTTCATATGTTCAATATTTTCTACCAACTGTGTTGCATAACCTAGTTTTCCGGTCCAACTTTACTCTTTGTTGTCCTCCATGCTCGTTTTAATAAGGATATAGAGCTGAATTATCAAGTATGTTTGTTATAAAAGCAGGACGTTCAGTACATATCACAAGGTGATGCTTCAATAGATTCACTATTTAGTATCTGGTTTTGGTTTAAGCTGTGTGTGGGAAAAAAAGATGAGAATGCAGAACCCCTGCTGCCCTCTTTTGTCCTCTCGCATTTCTCCCTATACAGAAGCTTATTTTAGTTTCAGACTCGTAACATTTCATGATTTATATTTGGGATATTATGCCAGCATTTCGGTTGCAGAGTTTAAGTCTCTCAAATGTTTCCTTACATTGTATAATTACCCTCGCTACACCGTCTCTTTTTTGGCCATTGCAACGTTATTTTAATCAGTGCTTATCTTGTTACCAGTGTAATTAGGAAAGTTTCATCATGTAGAGCTGCAATCATAATGTAGTTATCAGGAGCACGTCGTTTGTTTTTGCATCCAGTTTCCCCCCTATGGTGGTCTCTATGAAGCCCTTAATGTTAAACTCATAATTCCAAATCATGACACTAGGAGCATGTCCTTAATTAATTTGTTAAAGTATAGTTAAATCCACCAAAATGGACACAAATAGTTGTGCCTACTTAGATTGTTGCCTTTTGGACTATCACCCCTTGAAAATATTATTCAATCCATGTCAGAACAGAATATGTCATATATGTGTGCAATTGTAGCCATTTAAAGGTGGGGTAGGTAATTCACTTCAGAAACACTTTTTGTTATATTCCATGGAATGCTCTTAACATCCCGATAGCAATGAATAAATTAAATGCTTTGACAATAAATAGATACAAATATCTCATCTGTGGAAGCCGTGGCGCTGCAAAAAGCACAACCTACCTGCCTGTCAGCCTTCCATCTGTGCACAAACTTATCTCGTGCCCTCATTGGTCATGTGCGCGTTCGTGTGTGTTGGAGGAGGGGCTCTGTAATGAAGTCTGAAGGAAGAGGCAGATTTTTCCCGGTTGCGTACTTTCAAATTCTAGCGCACTCGAGCTGGTTTCTCCATTCTTACCTAACCTACCTTTAAATGAGACATCAGCATATCATAGCTGAACAAAGTAGACATTACTCTCTTGAAATCCTTGTATGAAGTCCTTATAATCCTGGACAGCCCCCATTAGTTTGAATGTCTATCACAATAATTGAAGGGAAAGAAAGAGCACGGTGGAGGAGGACAGCAGGAGAAAAGATGAGTGGATAATGGTTACATAGGGGAGGTAAAAATTACCACTTGCTGATATGAGTAGGATTATTGTACATAACAGTGCATGTGCACACACACATCTTTGCAGCTCCACTTTCCCTCCCCTCTTAGATTCTTTCACCGTCTCATCTTCTCTCGTCCTCTCCGTGTAACCTGACATCTCCCCGTCCAACCAGACAACTCAAGTGCCCCAGCCATTTGAGACTCAGGATACATTTCAGCTGTGAAAGAGCGAGTGGCTCAGATATTCAGCAGTGTGCTGCCACAGAGTCCTCAGAGATTCACATGAGAAATGGAGAAAGAGAGAAACCCATTTAGCCTGACACTTGAATTTTTACCATAGCAGTTTGCTCAAACTTTCCTAGTGGTTAAATGCTCCCACTTGAGTGCCATCCTTTCCCCTCTCGTTTTCTCCTGGCCTCATCCTCAGCCTGGGCCCTCCCATGAGGAGCAGGGTCTCGTGAACCCTGCCTCTGCAGGATCATCCAAGCACAGCAGCAGAAAATAGAATCAGCAAGTGAAATCAAATACCATGGAGAAAAGTAAGCAGTGTCAGAAAGCCAAACATGACTGCAAGTAAAGATGTCTGCACCGTCACAGTGTAGCTGCATCCTCCGGCCCTTTGCAAGTTTTACATGTTCAGTCTCATTCGTTTACATACCAAATGACATCGTCAATTATCCACTAATAATGTGCTTCAGCGATGAGAATTATGTTAATTCCTACAATGAAAATCCATGAAGATGTCAGGGTTTAAGAGAACTGAGTGAAACTAATTTCCTTTGAGCCTTAGTGTTGATTTACTTACTTGATGTTGCTTCTTTATGCCGTACAGTGATGCAAACTCAATTAAGTGATAGACCCTAATCTTTTATCAATAACACAACACTGAATAATATAATGATATATCGCTTTTTGATGTAACACATTGAATATACTTTTAAGCATCAGCTTTCTGCCTTTGATGGTCCTAATGTATGTGCATTACAATATACTTATCTAAAATGTAAATATCACCAGTCCCCACTAGTTGCATAACCTTTTGAATGTTTTTTATTTGTGTTTAGTTGAAACAAATAAGATATAATCTGATAATGAGTGAGCTTTAGAGAGGGTGGTTGGAGGATTTTGTAATCTCTGGATAAAGTCAGACTAGCTGTTTCCAGTTGTAATGCTAATGTAATGCTAAACTAAGCTAACCATCATTCTCTGCTTTAGCTGTTTTACTCAGCATACACTCATGAAAATGCTATCAATCTTCTCATCTAATTATTGGTATTGACGGCAAAGAGGATACATATAAAAATACCTATGCTTATTTTTTACTTACTAAATAAAAATACTTAATTGACTGCTTTCAAAACATTTTGACTACCTGAAGATAGTCAAAATCTATCTTCTGTGACTGTTTTACAAACAAGAGATTATCGTTATCATGGCACCATTGTTGGCACTTATTTCCTTTACATGCCTCAACTCACTGCCTACAGCTGTCAAAAAATAAACTCATTAGTTGATTTTACTGTGTCTGTCCGGACTGATAGAAGTCGGTAGGCTACCTCTGTTCCCACCGCCGCATGACTTTCTGCTCATGTGTACACTTTCCTGGGAAGCCTGCATGTTAACGAAACCAGCAATACCTGTACCTGCTGGTTTGATCAGCTTTCATGTGTATTCATAAGCACCAACCTGTGGTGATGTATTAATATGGTTATCACAGGTAAAAAGCTGTGTCACAGTGGGCGTTAGGAGAGCTCAGAGTTTGGTTCAACCCTTTGTATCTCAACAGGGCATCTTTCAGAGTATCAGCAGGATCCTTCTGTGTGGCAGAGTGTGATGAAAAGTTGATGAGGGTTCAGACTGCAGGAAACTAGCGAGGGTATGCGTGTTAAAGTTATAAGAGATAGAGGCAGGTGAGGCATTGTATTGCTTTTATTGATGCACAGAAACACACACACACACACACACACACACACACACACACACACACACACACACACACACACACACACACACACACACACACACACACACACACACACACACACACACACACACACACACACACACACAGTCTCCATTAACTTTATATTGCATCATCAAAGACAAAAACAGCTGCAGTCTGTATCCTCCTCATGTTTACTCTGACACAGACACACACATATGCTGCACATTCTGTGTACACACACACACACACACACACACACACACACACACACACACACACACACACACACACACACACACACACACACACACACACACACCTGATATCTGAATGCGAGACACAAGTCGATCTTTATCCCCCTGTTTCGTGTCAGTCTCTTTTTACAATGGCTTATTCAGTTACTGCCCCCCACTCTTTGAAGTCACAATGCTCTCCAAAGGCAGCAGCACTCTGCTAGTATCAGAAAGCCTCTTTTCAGTGGTAAAAGTAGAAATAGCAGTATTGCTGTGTACTGACCTAATTTGATTTTGCAAAAAAGGGAGAGGTGCTACGGAGATCAAAAGCTTTAAAAATGGAAAGCAGTATGAAGTCGTTCTCGCTCGTCTCTCCCCTGTATCTCTTTTCGGCAGCTCACATAACATTGGAGCCTACCTAATTTCGACAGGAACGGCTAAACTGACAGGTGGGATCATTTCGCAGTAGGGACAGCTGTCCTAGTAGAACAACATAATTGATTTTTGCATGGATCTTATTGACAGCTGAAAGAAATGCAGATATTACTGCCAATCCCGAGATACCAAATGGATTGTGTACGTGCAAGGTGTCAAGAAGCTTCTATTACAATCCCTCTCTTTTTCTACTCCTTCCTTTTAAAGGAAGATCAAAGTCCTCTGCAGTGATTTCTTTGTCAGAGAAAATCTGGTGGAAGTTGGCAGATGTGTAAAGTGGCAGCCTTCACTCTAACAGTCCCCTCCCCTCATTTATTCTTAAAGCCGCCTCACTTTTAAAGGCCTTATTTGCGTCCTGTGAAGTATTTATATTTACAAGCAGACTTTTGGCTATTACTTATACATGCTGTTGCCATCTTGTTCAATAATTCACAAGCCTCACTAGAAGGGACAAGGCATGCATGGCCCTGAGAGCTCTCTCCCTTGCAGGATTTTTATTTCCCTGCAAATCTGCAGGGGCGGGGAAAGATAAGACAAAGACAAGGATTGTTATTCTACCTTCAACTCTGAAATATTAACTGCGGCTGTAGTGCTTCTAAACAAGATGCTGCGCTAGTTATTGCAGAGGTTTAATTGAATGCATTCGTATATTTTTTGATGGCTGAAAGAAATGTTAGCCCTAGCTCTTACAGTTTGCTTATAAGGTATATATTGTGTGTCTGTTCATTAAGGAATTTTTTGTCAAACAGCTTTTTTGCTAAACATTTTTAATAGCACTGAAATGAATAATGCAATCATTTTATTTCAGTAGTAAAGTAGCAACTGTCAGCCATTCCAAAAGTGTTAAATATGATGCCAACAACATCTGCCCTCTGCAACTACATATTAAATGCACACCTCTCACCTTGAAGGTTCATATTTAAAATCAGACAAACACTACTTTATGAAATCATATGTTGTGGGTTAGGGAAGGGGCGTGATTCAGTCACTGTAAGTGTAAATTACTCAACGTTATGAAACACTAAAGGACAGAAAAAGCTCTCTTTTGTAGCCGCGGGTTTCCTCACCTGAGCTGAGAATCTGCTGTATCCTTCACAGTCGGCTGCAGCTGACAGACTGTAAAGACTTTGTTTTGAAGCAGGTGACTGCAGAGCTAACTCAGCCATTGCTAAGCCTCAACTGCAAGCTGCTCTTAATCAAAGAGCCCATCTACTGGGGTCATGTAGGTTTGACTCACCTTTAATGTTCAAATGTAAGGAAATGTATCGCAGTTGTTTGCCCTAAGGCGCTTACTACACATAGTCTGTCATGGAAGTACCTTGTTCTCAATGGGGATTCAGCTTAGTGAACACACAATATGGCCTCAGGGGAGAAAGCCAAGGTAATCGTGATGGAAAGGTAATGGGGTGGATCAGTATGTTCACATAAATGTTGCATAACATCGCAGATTGTATGGTGTCTGAGCTTCCTACTGTGTGATGGCTCACTATGTGTTTGGAGAAAAGATAACATCTGGTTAGATGTAGAGAATAGTGTTTTTTCTCTTTTGAACATCAACGTAACGTTTTCAGTAGGACGGTGTTTACCCCTAAAGACATAAGCAGAACATGGTTACTCATGCTCTGTGTGTTTGTTTGTGTGTGTTTCTGCCAGGTTTGTACAACTCTGCAGACAGCTGGATGATCGTACCTAACATCAAGCAGAACCACTACACGGTGCACGGCCTGCAGAGTGGCACCCGTTACATCTTCTTTGTCAAGGCTATCAACCAGGCAGGAAGCCGCAACAGTGAGCCAGCCCGCCTGAAAACCAACAGTAAGTGAAGGCTGCTCTGCCTCTGAATATTTACAAGCTTTGTTAATTAGTTTCTTTTATATTTAGTACACACTTTTTACCGTCTGCATCATTTGTGCAACATAACGTACAGACTGTCCCTAATCAAGGTTTTCTTTTACTTATAAATGATGAACAAATAAGTAGCAGAATCAGACCTAACTTAGATTAGATTCTTATCGATATGTATGGCTTGCTTTTGGTTTTCAGCCTGAATGTAACAGGATATATATGAAACACTTATTTGTAGTCGTGAAAGTAATGTCTCATTGCCCAATGCGTGATGTGCCCAAAATGAGACAACCTGCATGAAAACACACCTTTTGCTTCTACACTGAACAAAAATATAAACGCAACACTTTTGTTTTTGCTCCCATTTTTCATGAGATGAACTCAAAGATCTAAAACATTTTCTACATACACAAAATAACCATTTTTCTCAAATATTGTTCAGAAATCTGAAAAAATCTGTGATAGTGAGCACTTCTCCTTTGCCGAGATAATCCATCCCACCTCACAGGTGTGGCATATCAAGATGCTGATTAAACGGCATGATTATTGCACAGGTGTGCCTTAGGCTGGCCACAATAAAAGGCCACTCTGAAACGTGCATATTTGCTTTATTGGGGGGTCTGGGGGGGTCCGAAAACCAGTTAATATCTGGTGCGAGGGTTAGGGTTAGGGTAATGTTGTGAATCGAGTGGCCCATGGTGGTGGTGGGGTTATGGTATGGGCAGGCGTATGATATGGACGATGAACACAGGCCACTCGATTCACAACATTACCCTAACCCTAACCCTAACCCTAACCCGGATGGAGCGGTGTTCTGGCACGGCTGATGTTTGGTTTACCTGGTTCTCCCGGCTTGGTGAGGCCCTGTCTGAACTGTTGTGATAGATCACTGGCCCTCGGAGGCC